CCCCTCCGGGTAAGTAAATCTTTAGTCTTCACTTGTAGAACGCGTGGTGACTGTAATGCGCTCATTACGACCTTTTTATAAGTTTCTGAAGGGTTTGATTTTATGCTGCCTTTTTTCAATTAATTTTGCCTATGCCCTCCAGATCCCGACTGTGAAACTGCAACAGTATTTAGTTCAGCAGAACCTACAGCAAACTTGGTAAGCTTTAGTCACTGTCTGTTTGGATTAGGAATCCTTGAAGCATGTGACATTCTTCATAGAAACTGTCCTTGGATGCAGGCTTAATTTAGTGGGTCAGAGACTTCTTTTGGAAGAAAAGAATGATGGTTTCAGTTCTATATTCACCCCCCTTTTCCTCCCTAAATTGTGAGGTTTTTGTCTCAGTCTGTAAGTGCAGTCTGCATTGTACTAGATGCATTAATGATATTCCACCTTTCCCTCTGCAAACAGAAAGCATATATTTGAGTGCTGTTTTCTTTCCTTCTTTTTTTCCTCCAGACAGCACTTGCTTTTATCATGCTACCCTTCAAGTCCCATTCCAGTTAGTTTTAATTTCTCCACTGTGGGACGGGAGAGGTCTCACCTCTGACAGAACTGACTTTGGACTTTTTTTTTAATCTGAAGCTAAACCTTTAGTCACCTACTGGTCTATGGTGGGTGTGAAAGCCAGTCCTCTGCATGTCAGAATAAAACTGCTGTTAGTCGAGTTGCCAAAGATCTTGTGTGCATGTGTGTATAGCCCATAAATAAATAAATTTTGGGGGGTGTGTGGGGGGGTGTATGTGTCTTGTGACTTCTTTGCCTCTTAAATGTACTGTGCTTTGCTTTGGAATCCCTTCAGGAAGAAGGGCCAGTCTCTGTGCCACCTCAAGACGGAGTGGCTTCCTACAGCTGTTCCCAGAAGGTAGTATCTAGTACTTTATTGTGGTAGCCCTGCCCCTTACAGCATCTTGTAGGAAACAATGTAATTCCCTATGAATATAAGCAAAACAGAAGGGTGAGAAGATGTCTTGCAGGTGTCTGCAACTCTAAACTGATATTTTCAAGGTAATATTTAGAGAGCTGGGATAGCTGCCTTTACAGCTAGGACTTCCAAAATGCATTTATGTGAAGTGAGAATTTTTGACTTATGTGATACTTCTGTAGTCTCTGTTGAAGCCAGTTGTAGAGGCAGCCTACTGATTACTCTGACTCTTTTCCAGGTGATGGTGAACTCTGCAGCAATCTCAACCTCAACAGGTGTTTATGCTGCTCCAGCTACAGGCTTCTCAAATTCTGCTGCCTCTACTCCAGCCAGTGCCACAACAGCAGTTCCCCCACAAACAGCAGTTCAGCCAGTCATAGTATCTCCCGTTTCTATAGGGAGGCCAGGTAGAGTGTGCATGCTATGTCTGTGGACTTGGATGTGTTAAGATTTCGGTTGCATCTTCCCCTCCTGTTTTTTTCCCCAAGACTAATGTTAAAGGACTTTTTAAAACAAAGCAAAAAAAACAAACCAAAACAAAACAAAAAAAAACCCCCAAAAACCAAACACACACACAAAAACCCCCCAAAAAACAAAACACCCAAAAAAGTATCACTTGGTTTGCCTGAACACTGCTGAGTTCTTGCTTTCATGTTTTGAAAGGGAGAGTTGCCCCTGAATTTGCATGGGAATTGGAGGTCTCTGCTTTGGCTTCCCACTTGCCTCCTTTAGCCATCAATGCCAAGCATTTCACTAGAAAGTCCTTTTCAGAAGGCAGAAGTTCATGGCAGCTCCCTTCTCCCCCTATTTCCTACAGTTAATTTTCCTCTTGAGTTGAGATACTGGTCCTGAGGCTTTACTGTCCCTTCCAAAAGGGTCGCTGGCTGTGGTGGTTCAGGATCCACACAAATGTCCAGTTCACTTTTGTGGCCCTTAGCTCTTGTGCTCAGTTAATTCTAAGCAGGCAGCTTGATTTTGTGATGTGTCATGTGGTGCACTTACCACCTACAATGCTGTATCTGTGTTCTTCTTGTGGAATGTCTGTTAAGAAAAAATGTGTTTTCCTCTCCTTATAAAGAAGACTTTTCATGTCTTGTAGCTCTTCATTTGGCATCTAGAAAACCTTCCGTGTTCAATTCTGCTCACTTCTATTTCCCTTTTCCTCTTTTCTTTTTCTCCTTCATTTGTTTTTTCCCACTTTGCATGAGAGTTTAGTCAGCACAGTTCTCCAAGCTGTCTCCTTGCTGATGCCATTACAAATAACCTGCTGGTGTGTTAGAGGTGTGGGCCACCTAATGAATATTTAACAATAGTCTGCCCAAAATATTTTTGTTTGGATGTGTCTTGAACTTTCCCCTGTTTTTGTGGGCTTATTGTCACGCTTCTGATGACTTTGATTGGCTTGTCTCTGGCTGTTCTAGGAGAGACACTTATATAAGGAAAGTCTGGCCTGCCTTCTAGTATGGAGAAATGATTGAAAAAGGCATTTATTCTTAACTGGAATATGAATCTTGCAGATAGACATACAGTTGAGGCTTGTGAGATTGGAACCTTCCTATCTGGTTTTAAAACTTCTTCTGGAATTCTTTTAAAGTGATTACTAAAGAGAACTTTGTTAAAGTTTGTATTTACGAGCACTAAGATGACAAAGTAGTACAAAACTGTGTAACTTAGCATTTTGCTCATTTGATATGCTATTGCAAACTTGAGTTGACTTTTGTTTCCTTCTAATTGTAGCAGTTTCGTCAGTGCCATTCCCAGTTTACTCAGCTCCTCTTCCTCCAGTCAGTGAGATGGGAGAAGCTGGTGTCGTTCTCCCGCCTTACTCTTGTGATCCCAGTGGCAGTGATCTGCCTCAAGGTAACGATGGTATTTTGTGCTTTTACTACTGCTGCTCTTCAGCACACTTCTGACTTGGGTTCTCAGTGTTCAGTTCTGCTCAATTCTACCTTCCTTTTCTTCTCTCTCTCTTCCCCCTCCCCTTTTTTTTTTTCCACTCTGCATGAGAGTTTAGTCAGCACAGTTCTCCAAGCTGTCTCCTCACTGATGCCATTACAAATGGAAACTTAACAGAATACCTATACTGAGAAGAAATGGCTCTTTGCAGCTTGCAGGGAGTGAGAAATAATATTACGGATGCTTGTGCTAAAAATGTTTTAATTCCCGGTTCTGAAATAGCAAGTTCACATCTGACTCAAACATGAGATTACTGCAGCTTTAGACAGCAGCCTAAAGAAATACCAAGGGAGAGGGTGCTTGGCTGATAATACTGGTTCTTGGTGAAGTAATAATTTTTCTGATAACTGATTTACAAATATACAGATTTTTTTTTTTTTAAGTTGTGCTGTTTCACAGTTCAGTGGGATATTGTGGTGTTTTCCTGTATGGCTCCAAGATGTCATTATGTGGTATCATAAACTGGTGATAAAGTGTAGGGTCATCATGTTCCTTGGGTGTGTAGCTTTTTTGTATACTGTCATCAATTATGATAGTGTTTAATGTACGTTTCAGCTATTAAGCCGTGAGTGCGCAGAGACCAACATAGTACCTACGAGCAGAGCAGCTCACAAACGTCTTTCAGCTTTATCAGCTGAACATGGACTTCATTTCAGAAGTGGTAATCTTTAGTCAACTTGCCGATATTCTTAAATTGTCAGAGCATGCCATGCAAGGTTGCATCAGACAGCCGAGCTTGGTAAGCAGTGCAACAGGCATATACATACTTGATTTTTGGTGATTGTTATTAATTACTCCCCTCATTCTGTCATGTTTATGGCTCACAAGGCATACAGAGAGCCTATAATTCACAGAGCTTTGTTTAATAACCCAAAGATCAATCTGTCTGCTGTCCTTATTGCAAACCAGGTGCTCCTCAGCTACAGGAATACCGGTACTGCTTGCTGTTACGCTATGTAACTTGTTTTTCTCCAGATGGAGAATGCTGCGAGGCCGAAGCGTGCCACTGTTGCATCACTGCACACATCTCAAGAGGCAGATAAAATTATTCTGTGATGCAGTGTCTTGTCTTAGCTGATAAGGATTGTTGGTTGCATGTAGTTTTGGACAGCTGTAGAAAATGCTCTACCCTGTAGATGTCCTCTTGCTCAGTCTCTTGACAATGCATAGTCTCAAACTGCACTGACGGTTAAAAATTCAGAAATCCTGTAAAAGAAAACTTGGTTATTTATCGTGCTTGTCATCTTGCTATCAAGATTCAGATTGTCCTAATGTGTAGCATTCAGACTGGAGCAGAAATGCTCCAGATACAAGTTGGAGTTCAGTTACCTGTGTTGCCACAGCATCGAATACAACAGCTTCAGCTCTTTTTGCTTTCTGTGGCAGGGAGCATGGGGGGAAGCTGGTTTTGTCAGTAACAAGGCCAAGCTAGAGGTAAGCTGTAGCCTGCTCTGAAGAGCAGCAGTGCAAAACAGGCTGGTTATGTTTTTGTTGCTCAAGTAGTGGGTATAACTCTGCATGGTGGTTGAAGTACATAGGCTTTTAAAATAATTTCATAGCTGATTTATTCTAATAGCCATCTATAGACATAGCAGATGACATAATTTCCTCAGGCTTGCTACCTTTAGTTCAAGTTCCTGAATCTCCCATGTTCGCTGTTGGTATAGAGAGTAGCTTTTCATTCCAGGGTGAGTGAGGAAAGGAACTGGCTGCATATACGTAGGGTCTGTGAAATCCAAGTGTTCCTTTTTGCGCTGTTTTGCAAAGTGTCGTTTCACTATAACTGCCTGACTTGATTTCCTCCACCCTCACGCACCCATCCTTGTACCTGTCTGTGTTTCAGGTATATGGCAGTTGTAGCTTTTATTGCATGAGAAGGCAAAGCTTTTGGCTTTTATTCCAAAAGCTATTGCTTGAAGGCGGAGCATAAAGTATTTTGGTGACGCAGGTTGTTTTCATGCTTGATGCCGTGTATTGGCATCTAACGTAGCTTTGTTGTCCCTGCGTGGGACTGTCCTCAATGTGCTAATCCTAGAGGGCTAATTTCAAAGAGGATACAGAGGTACTCTTGATGGGTACGGTTCCGGTAGCTACGGGTTGCAGAAGAACTTTGGGCTGAAATGCTATGGATTCTTCCAGTTGCATTTGCCAGGTAACATGCTTGTGTTGTCAGAAGTGGATCTGGGAAAAGGCAGGTTCCAAAACCCGATGGCATGGCTGCTCACAGATACTGCTAACGTGATCTGCAATAGCTCTGCTGTCTTGCAGGCGCTCTCACTTCCTGGTTTTGTTACTCTTGAATATTCTTGTTTTCCACTCCCTGCTGCAGTAGTATTACTCTAGATGATACTATGCGCACATCAGAGCTAATGGTTTTCACCTTTAGCTGAATGCCCTTAACTGAAGCTTTCAGCACTTGGGAGAATTGGGTGTTAAGTGTACTGACAAGAATCTGGAGTGGATGTGGATTCATAACCTCTTCAGACCCTGCCTGTAGCTCTTCAGCTGAGTCACTCCATATGGTATTGGCCTTATCCTTCTTGGCATAGACAGAAGTGTGTTTTTAAGGATTTTCATGTTAGTAGCTAATAAGGAACTGCACATAGCATTTCTGTTGTCATGCTGCTCTGGTGTAATCTATGTGGCCTTTAAGTTAAGAAATCCAGAAGCTTTGGGGTAGTGCAGGGTAAAGTACGTGGGTACACTTGACCTGGAGTTCTGTGCACTGCGCTGGAGATACGTGCAGGCCCAGTATAGGCTGGGAGTGTGACTTGTCAACAGGCTGAAGCCCTGGACTTGGGAGGAAAACCTGCCATGTGCCTTGGTATTACTTGGTACATCTGCCTTTGTTCCAATTGTCAGAATCTCTGGGTCTTTTATTAATGGAGCTTTGGGCTCGTTAAACCTGTTTATTAACGTGGAGAGCTCAGGTGTCCTACCCTTGCCTGCTCCCTTGTATTTGAAGGAGCTGTTGATAAAAGACCGCTTGATAAAGGCTGTGTTTCAGAGACTGTTGTAGTGTTCAGGATTGGCCAGAGCTTCCCCTCAGCACAGTGGAAGTCTTACCATGATTTTTGTGCTGATGCATTGTAAGATGAGATTTCTATCAGTAGTCAGCATGGTCTTTGTTTTCATGGTCGTTAATGTCTTTTGGCTTAGCCATTGCTTCATAAGGTAGTCGTGTTTTACTGAAGATTGACTTGATTTCTAGACACCTAAAAGCGGAGTGTAAACAGAAACTGGTCTCCTACTGTACTGGCTTCCGCTCCAGCATTCCACAGACGTCAGTATTTCCAGTATCAGTTTGTCACTTCAGTCTCCCAGCTCTTCCTTTGTACTGTTATCACTGCTATGAAGCAGCTGTTCCATTCAGCTCTTACGCTTGTTTTGCATAGATTTGCATAAACAATTGAAGAACAAAATCAGATTTTTTTAAGGGGGGGAAAAAACCCCACAAAAAACAAAGCAAACCAGCTTGTTCTAAACGTAGATGCAGTTTCAGCCAGGTGCTAAGAAGTTGGCATTTATGTGAGCCTTTGGGTTATCTTTAATATTTTGCTGACTGTGGTCGATGCCACAGCCAAATGAGCGGCACTTTTGGGAGCAAGCTTCCAGCTGTTAGATGTAAGGAAGGATCTGCGTGTGCTGCCTAAAATAGCTGCGTGGATCGTTGCCCTGATCAAATATGCTGAATGGTAAAAGAGTTGAGAATTGGCAACAGCAACGGAGGGAGAGATCCGTGTGCGTTTCAAGGCTGGGGTTTGCATTTGTGACACCGTGCCTATCCGCAGCAAAACGCGACACGCGGTGCCGTGGCAGCGCTGCGCTGGGAAAGCGCGTGTGCATGGTAGATGGGTGGACAGGGGAGCAACGTGGAGCTGGGGCCTTGGTCTAGGGGGAAGTGGGGCAGTGTTAAGAAGATGGTATATGGGGTAACTCTGGAGGTGTTGCTGTTGAAGCCCTTAGTGGCCTTGCACCTTCTGAGTTGTGTCCCTGCTTTCCCTTTCAGCTCCCAGCAGTAGTAAAGGAAAGTCTGTGCGTGTGCACGCACATGCAAACCTACTGCTGTGGAATAGGTGACTTGCCCTTCCTGAGCCTTTAAAGCAAACCTGTATTTGAACCTGAGCAATGAACAGTTTTTCTCATGCCCTTGTTGTAGGATTAAAATATGTGCTCTCTTTTCCTTGCAATGGTCAACTTTAAAGGTTTAAAACTGCTTCTCTGTTTTTGGGCAGTTGGAAATGTGTTTCCAAGTTCAAATCCCTGTTGTTTTTGGAGAGTGGTTTCAGAGTTCCTCCACGCACCTTTGCTTCTGAGTGTATTGTATTCACCAGGGGGGGCAAATTATTCAGTACATGGAAGACAGCAGTAAAAAATTACTTGCAAGAAAGCAGGAAACTGCATATCCTTGTGAGGAAGGGAAGGAACATCTTCCTTATTGCTCTCCTCTCCTCTCTGTTTTTTGACTTGGTATAACAATTGAGGTGACCGCCAAAACTATGTCAGAAGGTCTTAGGATTGCTGCGTATGTTGTCCCCATTGACTGTCTCTGGTCATTGCTCAACAAAGCTCTGAAGACAGAGATGGTTGCAGAGCCAGGCTGAACACTGGGCAAAAGCAGTGCGATGCTGGAGTCTCTGGAGTTGGCCTTTTGTCTCATGTGCCAGCCCAGTATGGGTGTTTGCAGTATGTATGCAGAGTGTGTATATAATGTGTGTACATTGGGGGTGAATTGTCGCTGGTGTACGAGAAGGCTGCTTCTGCCTGTTTGTGTGCTTCCAAACCCTTTCTCATTTCTGTGGTGAGGAAGGGAGGGAGTGCTTTTAGTGGTCAGCTTACGGGTTCGTAATCAAATTCTTATTTGATAAAATACTTTTTTGGCTAAAAACTCCGCCTATTAAGGCAAACATACAGGAAGTCAGAATTGCTGAAGTCCTAGTTGCTTAGGCGGTAGAGACTTGTAACAACACTGACAATTATCACTTGAGTAATCAAGATGAATAAACCAAAATTAAAGCTAATGTAATCATTGACGTTGGATAATAAGTTGGGCAGACAAGTGCTCTACTATTGCAGAAATATCTAATTGGATTAACTTAAAAAGATAAACTACTTTTAAGAACTATTTATATTGAAGATATAGTCTTTACCCTCAAGACTTTAAAAAAAAATAGTGCTAAAATACTCTTCATTAAGTAAGAGTAACTTAAAATGAAGTGCTCTTAGTGTGTGTAAATTTCTGTTGCCTCTCGGTTTATACTCTTCTGCTCTTTAATGTTATATCCCTTAATTTCAGATACAAAGGTCTTGCGGTATTATTTTAATCTGGGATTGCAAGTAAGTGCTTTTAAAATGAATACAGTAAATTGCCTGTAAAAACTGCTGGTTTTTTTTGACAAATGTACTGATGTATCTAAGACTTCCAAGTGTGCTAAATTGTGTAGGCTTGCTTGGTGGAGGTTAAAGTATAGCTCAGGAAGTGAAGTTCTAACTCAAAATTGTGAAGCACACTGGTATGTACGTTCAGTCGTTTTACTTTGAGTTCTGGTGGTGGTTTTTCATTTTTGTTTTTCTGAGGATGGTGGATAAATATTGTTCTTTCTGTGAAGGTAAGAGGAGGAACCTGAGCCGTTTTTAGGAAAATTTATGTACTTAGACAAGACATCAAAGACTGTTTAGAGGTGTGTGCTTTGAGGCTTCTAGGACCTGTACAGCTGTGATCAGACTGGTTAGCACCATTTGTCTGTATTCTGGGAAATCTTGCTCTCCTGAAAAGCTGTCTCTGCACCAGCAGTCATGGGCAGGTCAGTGCTGCTGCTCAGGGTAGTAAAAGAAGAAATGTCAGCTGCTTCAACTGAAGAAGCAGGGAAAAATCTCTTTGAATATGACCAAGTCGATAGGTGGGAATCTTCCCTCTCTGTAAAGAGTTGTGACAGAACAGCGATGTGGAACTGAGGTGGCTATTGCTGCAGGTGCTGCAATACCTTTTCTGGTAGGCTGTATTGGGGTGGCTTTTGTGTATGTAGGGGCTAGGAAGGAAAAAATGCAGTTCTTCCTAACTTCAGATCTGAAACTAGTAGTGATTTGGAGGAGGGATGGAGTGTATCTGGTTGTATGGTGACCTTGTATTTTCTTTCTTTTCTCAAAGTATTATCAGCAGAGCTATTGGCCTTCCATGGTGTATGTACAGCCAGTGCTGCAACCATCACCTGTGGAAGTTTATCCAACATATGCTGAGCCAGCTCCTGTCCTAGATCAGTCAGTACCTCAGCTCTACGCAGATGCTGGGCGAGCTGAAGTCCACCAGGTTCCCTTCGAAGTACCTGCAAATGGTTAGTATTTGAGTATAAGACCACATACACAACTGGTCTAGTGGAAGGTGTCCCTGCCCATGGCAGGGGGCTTGGAACTAGATGGTCTTTAAGGTCCCTTCCAACCCAAACCATTCTGTGATTCTATAATGAGAAGTGAGGGAACAGGTTTTCAGAGCATGAGTGTTCCATAGGAGCTGCTCGCCTGCAGCTTTGCTACCCTGTAGGAAGTGTGAGGTTGGGAGGACATAGAGTAAGCCTTGTAAGGGGTTATCACAAGTTCCTCTGCCACCTGTGGTACTACTTCAGGTGTGTCAGAGTCACTGGTGTAGCCACCAATGTGTCAAGGACTTCCTAAAGCCATGAAAAGGAAGAAGTAATCCTTTCTAGGCCTGTACTAGGTACGCTAACTTTAACTTGGGAGAACTTCTTCTCAAACTGTGGTGGGCTCTCATTGCTTACTGATAAGCAAACAGTCATGGTATCAAAAGGGTATGCCTGTAGTTAAAGGAAAGGAGACAGCTGGTGGAATTTTGGCAAGCACTGAGCATCGGTGCTGCAACTCCATGGGAAGTTAAAGGAAGATGTTGCAAACCTTGGTTTTAGGCTCAGCGTGCAGAGCTGTTATCTCCTGAGTAGCCCTTATTGCTAGCTGTGCCTCTTACTGTGTGTAAAACTTAACAGCAGAAGTTAGCTTCACCTAGCAGCTTTGTAACAAGCTTGTAGATACACTCAGCAGCAAATAGGAGGATTGTATTAAATGAGGAAAAAGATGTCGGAAGGGTCAGATGCCTCACTCATTAAAATCTATGGAACGTGGCAAACAGTGTCAGCGTTGGGAAGGAGCACATCGTAACAAAAGCGTTGCTCAGGGGCATACAGGCTTATTGCTCCAACAGTGCTTCAGCCTGTTCAGCTTAGGTGGTTCTTTTGCATAGATTGGTGTCAGAGATCAAATAGGGGAAGAATATATCAGCTCTTTACCCGAGTCACTCTTGAAAAAGCTGCCACTCCAATGCAGGATGCTGCGAAGCAATTCTTGAACAGGCTTTAGTGAGAAGATGAGCAAGTTCTCTTCTAATCTGAGGACCCAGAATGATTTTGACCTCTCTGTTAGGTGGGACATATATAGGCATAAAATTATAATCTAAATGGATTTTTCCTTTTGGCCATCAGAATAATGCTGTGTTCGCAATAATGAAAGTCTGCATAAAAAGGCCATAGATATGGTAAACTATGCTAAGTGTGTGTATCTTGTTTTCTTTTTTTTAAGGTAACTTTCAAAATGCGGAGCCTCAGCCCCTGTCCTATGGGCCTGTATATTACCCAATTGTGCCAGACCCCTTCAGCCAGCAATCTCTTCCTGGGTTTGATTCTTTAGTACCGGCCTATCGCTATATCAGTACCTGGCATCCAGTAAATCCACCATATGGAAATTCTCCACAAATTGCTAATGCTGTAAGTTCTGGACCACTGCACCAAGTCAGCTATATTGCCTCACCTAACCCCGCACCTCATGACATGCCTCAAGGAATGTAAATCTGGCAGCTATAAGCTCACTTCTTGCCCTTGCTTTCTCTTGTTTCTTGTTTGTCAACTATATGTTAATACTGTTTCACAACTGTTATCCTGTCTTAGTTGGCTGCATCAGTTGATTAAACTGCTCTCAGATTTCATGTTTCTCTTTAGGTTTATGCTAGTGATAGCTGACTTGACAAGATGTTTTAGTCAATTATGTAGGGAAGCATAGGAAAGGGTTATACCCAAACAATAGTGCAGGGAACAGAAAGCTTGAATTTGACTAGATAAAGTAGGTGTAAAAAGATATGCTATTGCTAAAGGAATGTTGTATCATGTACCTCTGTGAGGGATTACACTCTAACACTTAGACACCTAGTTCTTGTTTAAGCACTGAAATAGGCTGCTGTTACAACTACAGATAAAAATTGGGCACAGGGTCATTAGAGGATGAAAATGGTTGAAATAGGATGGCTTTCTCAGATTTCGCAAAACAAAACTTCTTTACCGCTCGTGGTCAAATAAATTGCAATAGCTGTGTTTCTCCTGTCTATCTTCATTCTGCATAGGTTTCATGTCTCTTGAAAGAGTGAGAATACTGTTTTGATCTGTTGTATATTGCTGTATGCTTGTAAGATTTGTTTTGTGAAAGCTGTTGCACAAATGGTGGTAGTCTTGGTGTTTAATTTGCACTGATAGCACAAAATAAAAGCATTGAACACATGAAAGTGAGTGGTCATTTATCACTGGCAGGTTGTGTTCCTGACTGTTAGTCATCCAACAGCCTGGACTGAGGAAAGGTAGCTGTCTTGTGTGGGATAAGGCTGCTCCAGCCTTCTGTGAGAAAGTAGCGAAAGCATTCAGCATGAGAATGAAGTGCAGGGGCAAGCTCTAGCTGTGTTTTGGTTGATAAGCTTAGGAAGAGAACACTGAATAGTCTGTGCAGGTGAACTGCAGTTCTCTCAAATGGCTGTCTGCACAGGCTCTGTCCTTGATAGACTCTTGCGCTGTATGTGCAAAATCGTCACGAAGTGGGTGCGCATTGGGCCCTGCCCACGGCCCTGGGGGCATCATGGTGGTGTAGCCCTGTCCTGGGGCAACAAACAAGGGCACAAGCATGGGTTATGCCAGCTCAGTGCCGGAGGCCTTGAAAACCAGCAAAGGCACTTATTTAACAGATCTTTTACTACTTTGTAGAGGCAGCCTACTGAATACTCTGACTCTTTTCCAGGTGATGGTGAACTCTGCAGCAATCTCAACCTCAACAGGTGTTTATGCTGCTCCAGCTACAGGCTTCTCCTCAAATTCTGCTGCCTCCACTCCAGCCAGGGCCACAACAGCAGTTCCCCCACAAACAGCAGTTCAGCCAGTCATAGTATCTCCCCTTTCTATAGGGAGGCCAGGTAGAGTGTACATACTACAACTACGGACTTGGATGTCTTAAGATTTCGGTTGCATCTTCCCCTCCCATTTCCCCACCTCCCCTTTCCAAGACAAATGTTAAAGGACTTTTTGCCCTTTTTTTAAATTTTTTTTAAACCAGACAAAAACCAAAACACCCAAAAAAGTATCACTTGGTTTGCCTGAACACTGCTGAGTTCTTGCTTTCATGTTTTGAAGGGGAGAGTTGCCCCTGAATTTGCATGGGAATTGGAGGTCTCTGCTTTGGCTTCCCGCTTGCTGCCTTTAGCCATCGATGCCAAGCATTTCGCTAGAAAGTCCTTTTCAGAAGGCAGAAGTTCGTGGCAGCTCCCTTCTCGCCCTATTTCCTACAGTTAATTTTCCTCTCGAGTTGAGATACTGGTTAGGGCTGCAAAAGAAGAATTGGTTATTCAGCCTGCATGTCCTCTTCCTATCAAGATTCAGCTTGTCTTCACTTATTTAACAGATCTTCTTGACTTTCACATGACTTCCCCATGTGGCTCTCTGAGCTGGATTCTGAAAGCCATGGCTACCAGATCTTTGCGTCCTTCACATTCAAACATAGACTCCTTTAGATACGGAGGCGAAGTTAGTAGCCTCAGTGTGCCACAATTCCCATTTGCCAAAGCTGGAATCCACTCTATGGGCCCATGCTACTTTTTAGTGGTTTTATTTTTTTCCTTTGTACATAGCTAAGTAGTGGTGATGTAGAGAGGTACCTCTGTGCCTTTGATACATGTGTTTTTGCCAGGGCTGTTCATGCTCAAAATTAACTTTTTAAAATAGCAAGTAGGGGCTGTGGGGCACAGTTAGCAGCATGTCCCTGAGCCAGTGGATGAATCCTCTCCATAGGTCAGGAAATGATAAGTTTTTGTTAACAGCGAAAAAGCTTAGAAAGGTACAGAAATTTAAGTGAATGCTGGAGTCTTTTATTTTCAATTCTGCTTTCCAGAGCTGTGTTGCACTACAATAGCTCTACATCAGTTACAAAAACAGCTGCCAAAAAAGCCACAGCTTTACATGACACACAGCTAGCCTGCTTCATACTTCAGCCATTTCCTCATCTAGAAATGGGTCTGGCTGCACGACCCCTGTACTAATAATACTCCTGGTTTTGTGGTTAAGCGTTCCAGTGGCTAATTGCTACAAAACAGTTGCCTTTTCAGAGGCTGTAAGATAATTAGCATCAAAATTACACAGAATTCTGGGTGTTTGAGAGTTTGGGGTTTTTTTGCTGGGTGTGTGTGTATACACGTGTGGTCTGCAGGTGCCAAGATGTGGGCTCAGGGTCTGTTTTTTTTGTGGGAAACCCAATGTCAGCCTGGTGATCATCCAGACTTACTTACTTTGGCACACTGTTTGGTACCAGACCAATGCTCTGGGTCTTTCATGCCCAGCAGAATTGCTGTGAATCGGGCTGGCGGGATATAGCTTGCAACCATAAATGTATTTTATCTCTAAATAGAAGCACAGAAAAATCCATGAGTATTGATTTGTATTGGGAACAAATACTTTCCTTCAGATTGATTTTCCCCTCCCCTTCTTTATTTGGCTTCTTGAATTATGTTGTATAGTAATGCATTTTTAAAGCAAGGATTTGATCCTGAAATGTAATTTTAATTAATTTAATTTAATTTCAATTTTTTCTTTATTTTTTGTGGATGGGTTTTCAGCCTGTAAAAGGGAGAATAGAACAGAAGAGTTGTGCAGCCAAGTCTGCACTAGTCATCCTTGCCGCCTCTTTTTCCGCACCATGTTTTCGTGTGTGAAAGGCAGGGGCTCAAATTAACACCTGAAGGCTGTGCAGGAAGGATCCATGAGCTGGCAGCACCACAGAGTGCTCTCTTTAGGTGTGAGCACTTCTGATTTTGTAGCCCTTACAAACAACCTCAGAGCCAAGCCTCTTTGGAAACCGCAGGATAAAAGAAGAGGTGATCAGCCGTAGTCCTTGTGCGTTGGGGTGTGAGCTGCTTGTGTTTTCAACCGTGTCAGTCTCTTTTAAACTGCGGCAAATCTTTCTGCCCTTAGAAGGAGCAGGCTTCGGTCTGAGTGCGTTTGCCCGCAGGTCGCCAGATGCTAGAGTGCATTTCTGTTCTCTGAGCACACGGTAAAGTAAAAGCATGGTATTTTGGCAGAGATGCTTGGGTCTTGCACCAAAGGACGTGCCGAGCCTGTGCCCTGTTGCAGTCAGGCTGCGGGTGCTGCCCCGCTGGTGCGTGCCCCACTCCCCCTCCCCTGTTCGGCGCCCTGCAGCCCTCCTCCGCAGCCGGAGTGGTCTGTGTGCCTTACCATCCATAGCCTCACTGCTCTTCGCTAGAGGCACGAGCCTCTTTCTGAAGTCTTTTGAATTGTAAAATCCATCCGTTATTGAAGATAATTATCATAAATACTGTACAGAAAAACTGCGTTGATGCTGCCTGCCAGCAGCATTAGCCTGCCGGGCTATCGCTCCTGTGCTCTGTTTTCCCCTTGGTCACGATAACAACACCAAACCGACTCCTAGGGTAAGTTGTTTTTCTAGCTCAGTTGTTTTGTTTAACTCTTAGCTTCCAGTTTGCTCAGCAGTGCTGCTGGATACCTTTCTCTTCTATAAAATTACACCATCAAAGACTGCATTATATATGGAAGATAACTCAACATATAAATCCAGACTTCCAAGTAACTGCTTTTTTCGTAAGGGAGGAAGATAAAACCCTTGGACCGGAACTTTATAGCTTTGAAATAAGATCAGAGTTTAAATTTTTCAGGGCTGGCCTGTATCTAGAAACTCCTACACATGATCAAGTCACTGCTGCTTAACAGATTTCGGAGTCAGCTGAGTTGCGGCAAGTATGAAATAATTCAGCCAGTATGAGCCACAGGCTAAGAGCACGTACACAGGCAGTTACTGCAATTTCGTCATCTCTGCAAGTGTGCCAGTCTGCAGTAACAGGAACGCATGCCTGAGTCCTGACAGGGTGTTTTTACGTGTTAGGCTCTGTTTAAGGCAATACTTTTATTCCATATGCTAAATCTTGCCTTCCCCGGAGCTGGTGAACATTTTGCTGCTAGCTTCGGGGTGCTGGGGTTTACCCCAAGAGAAGTGCTGTTCTGTTCTCATGGCTGTGATGACTGCTTGACTTTGTTGTGTCAGAGAAAATGGTCTTTTAAGAGAAAGCGAGATATACTCTAATGATGAAATTAATGGACCATCTAACTCCATCTACATTCTCCTTTATATATTTTTCCCGTTCCCTACCCTGACTATTTGTGTTTTCCAATCAAATCTAAACCTGTGATTTCTGACTCTTTTTAAATCAGTACTTTTTGAATATTTGTCATAGTTGAAAGCAAAAAAAAAAAAAAGTATGTTTTAATGTTTGTGGCAAGTATGTGAATGTGTGATTTGTATTACTTTTCAGGAAGCACAAGCAAGAGGAGATAAAATACACTGCAAAACTTCTTCCCCTGCCTCCCACCTCCCTGGTCAAATCTGTTATTTTCTGCTGCAGCACATCTCCCTGCCTCTGCAGGGATGGCTGAGGGGATGGAAATCATCTTCAGGTGCAGTGCGGTTCCCGTTTCTGGAGTAGGAAGCACAACTGGGGATTCAGGGTGCC